TAGGGGTAAGGAAGTTATTCATTACACTGGTGCAGCACTGGTCTTTCTGTGATAAGAACACATTTCAATTGCTTCCTTCTTGATAGAGATGTGTTATAGGAAAGATTCATTGTAACAGCAAAAGGTAAACCAAGTGCTGCTCTTTATGGACTTCTCATGCTTATGAAAAAGTTTGTCTAAAACTCAGGTATAATGTAGCTGAAAAACTGAAACTATGTGTATCTTTAAAATTCTGCATAGACCAAATGTTCTGCTTGCTCATGCTGATCAAAACTTCGGAGTTCTTTACTGGATGTAATCTGCCTGTGATTTACAAGTTGAAATGTTTCGTTAGAATTAGCCTGAAGAATTTAAGGTTTCCGGATACATTCAGAATTAATTGGTGTGTTCATTTTCTGAATTATCTGGTCAGCTTGGTATAGGAAATATTTACTAACCATAATTTATTATACAATTCAGCAGGTTTGTTTGGTTGGTTTTTTGTGTGGTTTTTTTTTTTATTTGGGTTTTTGGTTTGGTTTGGTTTCTGTTTCCTTTCAATGTGGTTGGGGTGTTTTTGCTTACTTGTTCATTACAGTATTTAATGTAGGAGTATTTGCCTGTATTTGCACTAAAACAAGCTTCTCCTGTCCTTTTGATCACTCTCTTTATTATTGTTTTGAGGACATTACCTTCTGGGGTGAAACTAATCTTATGCTTACTGCATCATTACCTTTTGCAATTAAATTAGCTATTCTTTGCCATTTATAATCATTAGCTGAACCCAAGAGAAGCCCAACCAATCCACAAGGTGTGGGTAGAGTCTGCTGAAAAGATGACAGTTAATATTTCTGTATACAGACTTTAGGTCAGATGTCGCCAAATGACTAGTAATGTATCCAAATATAGGAGGATGTTAGGAATAAGCATGGGATATTTTCTTGGCAAATGGCTGCTGTTTTTCAAGGCAGAAAATATCTTGTGGAGTTTAGTGGAGAAATTTTTAGAGTCCCCCATAGTTACTGCAACTAGAATAAACACAGATTAATTATAGGATGGCAAAAAAGCTGTCTGAAGAAAAGTGAAAGGGAAATTACTGAATCAGAAAGAGGGTAGAAGCCAGCTCTTAAAGAGTTGGAATCAATTTTTTTTATGGTCTCTTTAACGATAGAAGTAGGAGTGAAATAATGAAAATTATTGCTAACAGAACTTGGAATGCATCATCAGTGTATAGGAGTAACAGTATATTTCAGAGGATGAACTTGATGTTTAGTTTAATTTTTGTAGTATAAAGAAGAACTTGTGTTTGAGGAATAAAAATATTTTCTTGCTTTAATGTAGGAACTCAGCACTTAAAAATACATGGATTCTGTTTCTTTGTTATTTTGAGAATGAGCTACTAGTATGATGACGCTGTTGGAAAAGGCGACTAGTTGTAAGATGGTTCAGGAGACAAGAACAGTTGTGAAAGGACTACAAGACATGGCTGCCTGCAATGGGAGGAATTGAACTCAATTAATTTCAAGTCCTCGTCAACATTTATATTTCTTTCAAGCCAGAAAAACACTCATCCCTTCTTAATGTCAATCTCAAAATAGTCTGGTTGTTAGTCTGCTTGGTGTATTTATCTTACTTCCAAGTACTTTCCCATTCTGTTCTTGTACATAAGTAAGCTTTATGCATCCAGGTGTCTTGTCATGGAGTCCATTGGG